TCCAATTATCCACCAACATGGACAGCTTGAAGCAGAATACAAGTGGCTCAGCAGCTGCAAGCGAAGACATAAAGAAGACCTGCCAAGACCTGCATAGACGAGTTCAGATCCTCGAAACCCCAAACCGGACCCCTGTGAGGCATGCCCTGTCGTACCACCTGCCCAAAACCAGCCTCCCTTACCCGTACCCCAACTATGCAATACGGTACGAGAGATTGTTCAAAAGGACCGCAGGCAGATTGAAATCCGAGACAACGCCATCATCTCGGGTCTCCCAGAGGTGGACAACGAAAATCTCCCACAACTCATTCGTACTTTGGTACCTGAAATCAACCAAGCCACAATCGAGGTAAAGCGAATTGGCAAGCCATCTGGGGACAAACCAAGGTTAATTCACGTAAAAACCAATGCAGATACGAAGGCGCACCTCATGAAAAATCGTTTTGGCCTGAAGCATGGTGCACATAACGTATACGTTAATCATGACCTGAGAAGAAAGCAACAGGAAACTCGACGCCGTACCCTACCGACATTCAAGAAACTCCGCGCCAGTGGTGTCAAATGCTCCCTTCCACTTGACAGCATACTTGTCGAAGGTAAAACAGCTTCAGATGCAGACCAATTCGGCATAGGAACCCCGGGGATCTCCGAAGCAAAAAGCATGCCGAATATGTATTTCCAACTGTTGTAGTCTCCTGAGTAAACAAGCCGAAGTATTGAACCTATTCACACAAGAATCTCTGGATATTCTTTGTCTAACAGAAACGTGGCTAAATCCCACCATTCCTGATAATGTTGTAACCATACCAGGTTATAAACTATACCAAAAGGACAGAAGCAGTACATCCCTACCATGGTCACAGCTTGGTGGGGGTGGCGTAGCAATCTATGTTAAGGACCACTTGAGCTGCGATTTTCACCCAGAATTTTCGTATGGTAGCTGCGAAATGATGACTGTTGAGATCAAGCATCCAAGCCAACCTGTTTTCTTATCTGTTTGGTACCGGCCCCCAAGACAACCTATAAGTTCTTTAATATCTACGCTCGGTCAGCTCACTGATCTGTTTGACCAACACAATAGCGTAATTGTAGGCGACTTCAATGCCAAGAACCGAGCCTGGAAAGACACTGACACCACAGACTGCAATGGTAGGGCTCTGCAGTCGGCTTTCGTGAAGTTCGGTTTCAATGTGATGAATGAAGGGACTGGTACACGACCTAATCTTAGAAGCGGTCAAAACCCGTTGCTCGACATCATAACAACCAACATAGCAGACATGATATACTCTACACACACACTTGAGCCCTTATCTGATCATTGTCCTGTCATTGCCTTGCTATCTCTCGGCACACCAACCCAGCGTCGAGGATGTCGACTACGAAGAACAACGGATTTCGCCAGACTGCGCATACTAATAGAACAGGGCCCGTTTCTTGAGCGCGTAATGGGGACTGAACTTGTGGATTCGGCTTGGAAAGCGTGGGAATCTCATTTTCAGAATCTAGTAGACAGATCTTCTATCTTGACCAGTCAACAGGAGCGTCGAAAGCAGAGCTGGTACACGCCAAATCTACACAAACTGAAGCGGAGACAGAATGTACTGTACCGTGCCTACCTGCGCAACCCTCAGTGTATTGAGGCGAAAGCAGCTTATTGCTTATCGCGGAACTTTTACAGAAAGAAGCTTCGAGCGGCCAGACACGCTTTCCTTGACCGTGAGGCTGCTAGTATATCAAAGAATTGCAGTAAGGGCAGATATGTATGGTGGAAAAGGGCCAAGCAGTTTTGTAACAGTGCTGGCAGCAAGTCGTCAGTCCCTGATCTTACAGATGGTGACGCCAGCGCCACCACGGAGCATGAAAAATGCGATCTTCTTGCTCAACATTTTGCAGGCCAGTGTTCAGTGCCACCGGCAGTGAATGGACAACCCTCTCAAGCGCTATCATTAAGTGCTTGCACCACTTTGTACAGCATTTCTAAATTTAGTCCTCGTCAAGTCCATTGCGACCTAACACACCTGTCCCCCCCCCCCCCCCCCCCCCCGAAAATCCACCTCAGCAAATCACATGATACCGATGCTACGCTCAATGGCAGATTTACTGTGTGAATCCCTCTCATTCCTGTTTAACTTAAGCTTATCTACTTCGTGCTTCCTCAATTCCTGGAAATCGGCCTCTGTTACCCCATTATATAAAGGCCAAGGAAGTGCCTCTTCACCAACAAATTATCGTCCTATTTCACTGCTGCATCCCGTCAGTCGCCTTTTCAAATACCGGATAGCACTGAGTCTCAGCAGCTTCCTGCATCGCAACAAATTAATATCACCGTCCCAATTTGCATATGTTCCACAGCGATCAGCAACGGACCAACTTATCCTGCTTACTCACCAGATGGCTCGTGTCTCGGACAAACACAACAGATATGATTGTGCATTTCTTGACTTCAGGAAAGCCTTCGATAAGGTTCATCATCCAACCCTGATTGAGAGGCTGAGTACTTTTATGACTCGAAACTCAGTGAAATGGTTTGAATGCTACCTCAATCAGAGAACGATAGCTGTCAAGATTAAGGAGAGGATCTCTCCCCAATATCTTTTGAATTGTGGTGTCCCTCAAGGCTCACATCTTGCACCCCTGCTGTTTTAACCTACATCAATACCCTTCCCGACACATTGACCCACAGCGCCCCGTATCTATTTGCTGATGATGTTACACTGCTCAACACTCATAACATCGGTTTACCTGTTGGTGAGAATCTGGCCAATTTCCAGTTGGATTTAACAAGCTGCCAGCGCTGGGCTAGAGGCATTCACGGGGAGTTTTCTGCGGCCAAGACCACCATGTTCTCCAGCTATGCTCCTCCACCCTCTTCGTCTGTCCAAATGGACAACATACCACTCAATGTTAAAAGTACCGTAATCCATCTAGGCGTTGAGATAAGCACTAATCTTAAATTCCAAGACCATTTCACTACTGTGTTCAAAAAGTTTCGCCAACATGTAAATTTGTTATGCTTTATGGGCCGTCATCTATCGCATGCACATATTGCCCTACTCTACAAGTCATATGTACGACCCACAGTAGAGTACGCTATCCCTGTCTGGTGCTTCAGACTTACTGCTAGCCAGCTAGAATCGCTTGACATTTTACAAGCAAAGATCTGCAGATGCCTGCTGCGGTCTGCGAAGATTGATTTTGATCGCTATGAATCGAAGAATAATTTAAATAGGCTTTGTAATTTGGAATCCCTTCACTTCCGACGCACTTACATTTCCATCACCGCTTTGTTCAAGTATATCCATTGGCACCCAGATTATCTATCCCGCTTTGACATCAATATCTCTTCTAGCGCACGCCGACCAAACAAACTGATTTTCAATTCTCATGGCCGCATCTCTTCCTCTCTCTTTCTGCATAAGATCGGAAAGCTGTGTAACTGCCTTCCACCAAGGCTGACATCCCAAGATTCACTTTCTAAATTTCAGCAGCAATATCGCTTGCACGTGAAAAATTTTAAATTTGACTGTAGTGGTATATCCCTGGACATTTAAATTAATTGTTTGATTTTTAACAACCCAGCCCTGTGTTTATTGTTAATTTATGTAGCATACACTGTAACACGTGTAGTTTTCCCCACTGTTTATTTCTATTGCATGATTTGCATCAGGAGATCCCCTCGACAGGCCATCGCCTCTGGGAGATCCTTTAATAAAGATTATTATTATAAGTTGCTTCACGTTATGATCTTGCATTTGAAAGCCCTACTTGAATACTGTGGCCAGCTGTCTTTGATGGTACGGTACGGGACAGGTACGGGATAGCCCTAGGCATGCCGACGGCACAAAAACACAAACACGGAATTAAAGCTGTATGAATCATGATTAGCGCCAGACGTTACTGATGTATTGCCTTTGCATAGCTACGGGAATAATATGGTCCGATATCTGAGGCTTTCAACCTTCGGGGCTACGCGTTTTCTTTTTTTAGAAAACACGGAAAAAAATTTTGTTCGCAATAATCGTTTCCATCAAAGCAAACTGCGGAGACGACATTGGCGGAAGAAAATTGAAGGCGATTCTTGTATCAATCGGTCACAGAGGACAGCAGCCGCGATCACATCGACGGTGATGCATCATTCTTTGTGGATATCCTGTCAAATGGTGACATCGCTTCTAGTTCTGGAAGTGCAGGTCAGGTGAATCGATCGCCAGTGAGACGCAGTATTTACCTGTCGGGGCGACGATGATGAGGACTTGGCCTGGATTAGTATGATCAAGGCCAACTACAGTCTGCCTCAGCGATAGCTGCTACAGCTCCAGGCAAGGACAAACAGGAGGATTCCTGAGGGCACACCGCTTCCAAGGTCGCTGGTCGCCCTTGCGGATTTGGCAGAACTGTTTCCTGAGTGCCACGCCAGATCTGGTAAAACAGCACGAAATGATGCGAGTTTTCTTTGCGACGATGATCCAAAAATATTTTGGATGGCAAGCTCGATACCCCAGCTAATAATGGTGAATCAGACCATCACGGAGCACATGAGGCTGAGCAATCTCGAGTAACATTCTGTAACTTTTCAGTTGGTGGTGTGAAACGTTTGTCAGGCTGTGTTACTGATGTTTGGAAATAATTCCATCAATCTGTACAACGTGCAACAAGGCACATCTAAACACATTTGCTCTGTTTGGCTCCTTCACAGTGTGTAAATGCTGTTATCATGGTTACCCATCAAGGCAGACTATCCTGTCAAGCATGTCCGTCACCAGGAGAATAGATAAATCACTTCTCCCTCTAATGCTGTTACTCCTGCTGTTGCAACTACACAACGTCAATAAAGTGAATGCTGAAAATGAAGCACCTGAACAGTCCGAACACTCTAATAAAGTTGGCTATTGTCGTATCGATATCACATGGAGATAATTTTTGGTGGCACCAAATACACTCTTTCAAAATTGTAAAAAATGAACCATTATTCATTAACATTATCCATAACAGTATCTTACAGGCGAATTAAGTCCGGAAACCTTCCATAATCTTGGACAATGGATATACCGGATGCATGAAGGAACCTGGACACAGAAAAAAACAGCGGCATGTCAATGTAAGGGAATCTCCCCTCCCTCTCCCTCCCCGCTGCCCACACCCAACAGCCAACTACTTCCTACGCGTGATTACAATTGCCACTTCCGAGCGCGATCTTTCCAAACTTATTTTGTCCACTCGAAGTAAAGAAATCCGCTAGAAATCAAGGCAGAGTATTGCCGACGGACAAAGCTTGAGTTTGTGGTGTCCCGCTTCGCTGAAAGTGTGGCTGAGGTCGACGTCTTCATCAAAGTTCTGAGGCAGACAGTTCAATACTCAATACGACGCTGAACAAGATGCGTGTTCAAATTCAGGTTCAGATCATGGCAAACTGAGCGGAATACACATGCCGTTAGGTGTCTTTCTGTCAAAATCAAATCGTTTATCAGAGCACTCAATTCCCCCCACAGCACCGGTATTCATCCAATTAGGGGCCATCCGTAAATATAGATACCTTAAAGTCGCGGATAAAAGCAGGGTTTGCATACAAGCACATCACGGATAGAAGCCTGAAAATCAAACGGGTCAAATGCATATAAGCCTGTCGCGCGTAGAAGACTGGCTTCTATAGAAGCGCGGATCGGGTAGGTCAAGAGTGCATGCGCTATGTACGGTGCATAGTAAAACTGCGGCCATGCCGGTACATAGTCAGTGGTAGATCTACGCGTGTCGAGCGTAGAAGCGTGCATACAAGCCTGGCAAAAATATCAGTGGTGCATATAAGCATGGTTTGCATTAAAGCCTGATGCAGAAAGCGGCTCATATGCTTATAAGCCCGGCCTATATCCGCGACTTTACGGTATTTATTTAGAAACGAAAACTAGTCGTTTAGGGGAAGGGGGTTGAGCGCCTGTTCGTTTCTCGAAAAATATCGATGTACATTTTGCATGTGTGAGCATGTCCAGAAAAAAGACCAAACATATCAATACTTTGTACAATTTGTATGGGTTCGTTTATAGGGGGTTGAAGAGAAACGACTAGTTTTCGTTTCTAAATAGATATCGGTATTTACGGAAGGCCCCTTACCTGACATTATCTATATATATCTGTCTGTTCTATGGATATACAGTTGTCCCTCTCTAATCCGGCACTTGTTTATCCAGCACTCTTGCAAACCAGCATACTTTCTGCAACAAATCACTCAAGCTGTACATAATTCGATTTTCTAATCCAGCAGTTGCACATCGCGTACCGTACCGGTGCACAGCTATGTCAGTTTGGTCAGTGCATAGGATATTCCCAAGTGCATGTTATAGACATGGCATGGTAAACATGTGGACATGCATTCCACAAACTACTTGGATTGACACAGAAAATCCCTACGTTTTGACTTACTACACAAACCTGTATGTTAACCTCTTTAGCACGACGCTACCTGAACGCGCAACACGTCAACACCTGTAAAAGTCGCATTTTCCCATGAAAGTACAGTAGATATTGGTTATAACGTGCCCTTCTGATTTTTCACATTTTATCACTATAACCGGTATATCACTACAGGCGATTTTCAACTGAGCGCGTCATACATACACATTATACACGTGTGGGTACTCGATCGCGCTAATGTAGCGTACTGATACGTGATGGATGCTACTGCACCTTCTCCAGTCTAGAGTGAAGAACTTCTTGGCCCAAGGGCATCATCCAGGAAGCACCAGACCAGAATACCCTATGACAACACACATGTGGCTCCAAGTCGAGACATCAATGCCTCACACTCGTGTGTTGCTATCACTATAGACGATAATTTTTCTGCACAAAGAGGTTTTTTAAAATTGTGATTCTGTATCCTTATAGCCGATTTATCGCTATATACGATATATTGGTTATAATGATAATTTGACTGGCTTTTTCTGGTTTTGCTTCTGATATTTTCATTTTGTATCAATATAGCCGGTTTATCACTATGTCCGATGACTTTATAACCGATATCCACTGTACTAGCTGCTCAAGGATCGATAACTTTACCTTCACTAGGACGAATTCCACGGTCTTTAGCTTCCTGGAAAGGTCTTCAGGCGAGGGACAAACTGGTGTCAACCTCAGCTCGGAGCGAAACCAAAACCCCGGGCTACAGTCTGGCAAACTCCATCAACGCGCTCGACAGACTTGAGCACGGCCAAAGCTAACCGAGCTCAAATATTCAGCTGCCATTTCGGTCTCCTTGCTCGTATCGAGCTCAATTTTTTGTGAGGACTCACGGGATCCACTACCATCATTTGAATATTGTTTCAATGGCAGCAGGTAGTGCAAAATGATCCATGATGGAAAATACGCGTTCTGCAGACTGCGCAAAAATCGAGTTGAAATTTGCCCGTGTCGAGTCGCATATCGCAACAACCGGTAGTCGTATCGCTTCGGCGATTGTTTCTATCGCCAGCTGAGAGTTTTGTCTTGCAGATACATGTTTCGATTGTGAGAATCGACCAAGTATCGAGTGAGTTACGATAGTTTGAACAAGTCACTATGGACTCAATACGGACCCCACGACTATGAGATGCAGGTTCACTGTACAGTGTACAGCGCGTGTCGTACTAGTACGACGGCCGTGGGGCATGCAACTCATGTCCGTCGTACCAGTACGACGCTCGCACTAAAGGGGTTAATAGGTGGGCTGGGTTGGAGGGCAGGATTTGATAATCCAGCACCCTTGTTTATCCAGCAGAAAATGCCGTAGCAAAAGGTGCCGGATTGGCGAGGGACGACTGTAAAGCAATAATTATAGAAAAGAAGAAAAACTAACTTTTTTCGGGACATTTGTTATTTTCCCCGCTATAGTACTCCCATGTCATGTATTTAAATTGGCCGCAGAAGTGAACATTTTACACGCTTACATCCCCAAAGTGGCCGAAGAGGTACTCTAACTAATATATTGATTATCTCAATCAGGATACTCTGCCCTGCCCATGAATTAAAACAGTCCACAAGGCAAATTTTCGGAAATTTCATGTTGGCATGAGCTACCCTTAATGCATACTCTTGCGAAACACGAAAATCCTTGGAAGCCAGTTGGAGTGCATGGTACTGATGGTATTGATCACTTACAACATTGTGATGCTGGTTGGAAATATCGTCACACTTGACACAGGGGTCATTGCGCAGGACACTGTGAAGGGAGAGCAATAACACTTGCTGCAGGATGCTAGCGCTGAGGCGGAGAAAGCAGTGATGCTTGCAAAAGCAATTGCTAACAGACGATAACCCTAAGCATACAAGGGAAAGAGTAGATGGGTACATGCAGAGTGATAGTGCGGGTTCAAATCCCAGGTTATGTTTTGGAAAAAAATAGGATAAATGAAAAATTGACTATGCTTTTTTTGCCTAGGTCATCAAGGCAAAAAAAAGCATAGCGTAGGGCCCTGACCTTCCAAGCTCTCTTGTTCCGCTTGCATGCCAAAAATGCCACAAAGTACATACTGCAACAATCTCTCTTCATTTCTCCTACATGCGATCTCATCCGAAATGGCTACCTCGGTAGCCATTACACACAAAAAAATACAAACAACATATTGTTGTGGGTACATCAAGTATTGTTACTGATAATTCCTTTTGCATTTTTGAAAGCAAGTACAAACGATATCCTAAACTCTCTTACCCTCTCCTAAGATCTCAAAGACGCATAACTGTCAACATTCCCTCCACCCTGCAACCTTTGTATCTCATGGAATATATTCACGAAAAAATTCATCAATTCAAATTCGTTACTTGTAGTACTCCCTCGTTGATTTGTTTGCGTCTTCTCTATGTGCCGTGTTCATTATTGTACTTTCCCCTTCCTCCTTTTCTTACATCACCACCTTCATCATTTTTGCGAGAACTGTGGCAATACGCCCAGTGAGAAGGCAGATGTTGCCTGTGCTTCGGGTGAAGTAAAATAATGCTAAACAAACAAACATAATATTCCCTCTGACAGTTGAATGCCACCGTTCACAGTTTATCAACAAAGGCACATGTATTAAAAATCAAAACCCTTAGGAGCCTAGCACACTACGTACATGTAAAATGCAACAAACTTGCGCATACGCTGCGTATGCACAAGCCTGTTCAAGTGCAGTTGCACACTGACAAGGGATCTGCGTTTTACATAATCATTCCTGAAGATGATGACTGAAAATTCAAAAGATACGGTACGAAAAATGCTCTTCTCAGAACGACGGCATTCCGCTTGCCGTCTTTGACTTCGTTCTGTGTCGTTCAAATTGTACCCATGCCCATGAACTTCAGGTTGACTCCGGCGAGGAGATGGTGGGGGCGTAGAATTGTTTCCGCCATGATCACCGATGTTGCAGGACCTCCAGAAGCTACTGAAATCTTCAGATGGCGGTCTATTTCCTGTTCTTGACATTTGAAAGATTCAAGACGATCGATCACAGATGATCAAGTTTCAAGCTGCCGACGATGTTCCCCAAGTTGTTGCGGAATGGTACTGTGAAATGGAGCTGTGGATCGCTCGGTATCGTGTTATGCTCAGCAAAGAATAACTACAGTACAGTCTACTACGGCCTGAAGAAAAAGAGTTCAAGTACGAAAGGTTCAGAAGCACCCAATAATTCCAATTGAAAGCTGAAGCAGTAAACAGGACGCCGACAGACATCCACACAGCCCCACAACAGCACTGAAAAGTTTGAAAACACAGAAAGAAGTTGCTACACATGTGTCCGAAAGGGCAGGAACGCTTAAAAGCTAAAAAGCAACCTTGTATACCCATCTGCGATTTGATGTAAACGTTTGCGCTACTTTTTACTTTTTCCGCCATGTGACGCCAGTTGACATGACAACTTTTACAGGAACGCAGTAAACAAGAGGTTTTCTACGTAGTGTGCAAGGCGCCTTAGGGGCGTTTTTGACCTACAGGTTTGGGTAGAAACTACTACTTTCAGTAGAGGTGTTCATTTTCTCTACTCAAAAGGGTACATTGTACTTCACTTTACCGGCTCTACCAGGAAAAGGTCGGTAGAAGCCAGTAGAAGTAGGCAGAGCTACGAGATTTCCAGCAAGATCAAGGATTTGTACACAACTCCATACAGAAGAGAAGCATTTCGCATACATATCGTGTAAATTACTAAATCCGGTAGAACAGCATTCGTACACTTGCCTCTTCCGTCTACGTCTATCAGTACAGTGACTCTACTCCACTCTACCAGGTAGGTAAAAAGGAACACAGCCTTAGTATGCACCACATTCCATTTACCAATAGTAGATAAAAAAAAGTTCATTCACACATGTTTTAATGGGCATGAAACAGCATTTAAGGTGCGTTTCAAAAGTCCAGACCTCTAGTTCCAAAAAACTGTTGGGCCAGCATCTACACCACATAAACTCTGTGCTCACTTTGTGCATTAAAGTTCTGAAAATGGGATGAGGGAAATGAGGGAAAGGGATGCGCCACGATGACCTGCTCGAGCTATGTCCCCAGGCAACAAAGAATGTCGAACATTACGGGATGACCATGACGAAACTAGTAAGACCATTGGACAAACCGGTCCAACTAAAACTCGAAATCATTGGAACTTTCTGCACCTGAACCTTCCAAGTTGAAGGTTGTTTGTTTTCGCTTCGTAGATGTGTTGGAGCTAGGTGTCAGGTCGTCGAATGTCTCAATATCCTTGGCAGTTTTGTGCCTTGTTGTCGCACTATCTGACTGTATAATAGAGAGGTTGCGGAGTACGATGTTTCGTGCCAAAATCCGTAGAGGCGCTACCAATTTTTATACGTCGTTTTCGAGCAGTGAAATGTTCCAGAGTACGTTTGCTGTCATTGCCTAAGTTACGATCGTAAACACGTCATATTCCCACACTTTACCTTCTTATTTTGAAAATGTGCACCGAAATCAAAACGTCCCGCGAGAATTCGATGTTTCTCTTAATAATATTTGTACGCAAAAATCTTTCTGCACTCAATGACGCAAAATCTCCATACGAAACAGGGTTCGTATAAAAGCCAGTTCACACAGATTCTCCGTGCCGAAAAATCGTATGAAGCATGCCTCGAAAAGTCCGTAGCGCCCATATGGACTTTGGCACCGAAAATCGTACTCCGGAGCCTCTCTATTATCTTGTTACATTGGTGGACTGTTAGTCATAACTAGTAACTTATACACGTAGATCCTTTTCTCTTTCATAATTACTATTGGTTCAACATCCGAGTTTTTAATACAATAATAATTATTGATTGTTTCGGTCATTCCTCCCATGATTGCGGGACAAATTTCCGTTGATGACGGTCACCTAGAAAAGGCTAAAAGCGATTTGAAAAATAGCAATTTTCAATTCTTTGTGTCACTACTATTCTAAATCACTACAAACACACTTTTCTGGTACTGTAAATATAGAAATTTTCGGCAGCTATTTAATTTCGGCTATATTCGGCACCGACCCAAAACGCCTAATGAAAGTTTTCACAGCATCTGTCGCACTATACCATGACCTCTACCCCACACCAAAAATAAACCGCCTCCGAAATGTCAAAAATCGTGAAGTGCCGAAATTTTGCAGCGCCGAAATTTTGTATATTTACAGACAGTAGTTGCCTTTCGTGTGCAAACTGCACAAACTACGAATTGTTTTGGCTTGATTTTCTTGAGTGAAATGTATGCCACTAAAGGAATTAGTATACAACTGCGTGATTCAACACTTACGCTTGGTGGCCGTACATCCTTAGACTGTGTGACGGAGGAGGAAGCAATCTTGTAACTGTCCATTGTGGATTGTAAGTTCTGTTACGCACAAGGACGCACCGTCAACTGGATCACGGCAACTGAAAATTGTTCCTACCTCCGACGGTAATAGAGTGGAAATGGTGGGCAAAGACAGTTCTTGTCTAGCAGCGAGCTCCACTGTAGTTGAGACTATCCAGCTTGCTACTACTTTAGTTACATGTACTTCGCGGAATTGTCTCGTTTTCTGACGTTGTGGCCTCATCACACACACTGCTGAAGCTACTTCAAAGGACCACAAGCCTTTCAAGATTGACTTTGACCATCTCCTTCTTCTTGTTGTAAAGCTGTAGGCCACGACTAAAATTCAAGTAAAGAATGTGCTGCTCGTCAATGCACGAAAACACACCGCGAAACGGAACGAAATGGAAACGCACTTCAAAGTGGTTTGAAACATTTTCAAAACGATTTCGTACGAGTACCCGTGTAACCAGATCAGAGAGTAGTTCAAAGGTTTAGATCGGAGAGGAGTACAATACGGTATTCGTGCTACAGTTGTAGATTTTTTTAAATCCGCACCTTCGGGCTCTCCGCCTCCGTGAACAACAAAACTAGTACGAATACAGTAGTTCGTACGTACTTGATTAATTGATTGAATTGAAGTAGCCCTTTCCCAAGGATGCCAAAATAATTCGCAACCTAGGGCTGTGTTTACATGAGAAATTTCAACCCGGGTCGAGTTCAGCCCGGGTTGAAAGTCTGTACGACAAACAAAAGAGGTGAGCGTTTACATCAGGGAGTAGTACAATACCAATATGTATTGTACTACTCCCTGGTTTACATGAAGACAGTTGACCCGGGTCAAATACTGATATGCCGCCAAAAGTCCACTTCTACAGTCCTGTTTGGTCACGTGAATCCGTTCGCGCGAAATTTGCATCTGCAGTGCTGTTCAAACCTGGCGCGAGCTACGCACAGAAGTACGTTTGTACGATTTTCTTGACCCGGGTTGATTGCCGCGGTGGTCCTTTCTCTCAAGAACCCTTGAGGATGCTCCTGCACTGTTTGGTCGTCTTGAAGACGTGATTCGGGACATCCTGATCCCAGCTCTGACAGGCCACGCGCCACCGTCTTCTCAGGAGCGTGCACTGCTGGCCTTCCCATGTCGCCATGGTGGTCTTGGCATCACCGACCCGACATCTATGGGCGGCAACTACCGCAATTCACGCAAGATCACGACATCCCTGTGGGAGAAACTAATCGCCCAAGATTCCTCCCTAGATGGCACCGCGGCGCAAGTTCTCCGCATGAAGGCAGAGGTACGTACGACTTTGCGAACCAACCTCCTGGCAGCCGTGAAGTCTTTCAAGGATGGTGCTGGAGCAGAGCTTGAGCTGCAATTGACCCTAGCTTCGGAGAAGGGGGCCTCCAGCTGGCTGACTTGCCGCCCTCTAGCCATCCATGGATTTCGTTTGTCCAAGGCGGAGTTTCGCGATGCCCTCTGTCTCCGGTACGGGTGGACACCAGCACGCCTGCCATCAGGATGCGTCTGTGGCCACGGTAACTTTGACGTCACCCATGCCTTGTCCTGCAGTACTGGGGGATTCCCCAGTATTCGACACAATGAAATTCGAGACCTCACGGCTGATGTTCTGCGTCAGGTCACGCATGGTGTGTGCACAGAACCGATGCTGCAGCCAGTCACCGGAGAGAAATTCCGGCTTCTGTCCACAACGACCGCTGATCAGGCTCGTCTTGATGTTGCCGCCAACGGAATCTGGGGTGGCCGATTTGAGCGCACCTTTCTTGATATAAGGGTTTTCAACCCCTACGCTGCCTCAAATCGCGCTGCCTCAGTTTCCTCAGTGTATGCACGTCATGAAAAGGAGAAACGCCGGAGATATGAGCAGCGTCTGCTTGAGGTTGACCGCGCCACGTTCGTGCCAGTAGTGCTGTCAGCCACTGGTGGCACTAGCAAGTGTGCATCGGCCCTGTTCAAGCGTCTTGCCAGCATGCTATCTGACAAGCTGAAGGAGCCGTACTCCGTGACGATGGCATGGCTTCGCTGCAAGCTAAGCTTTGCATTAGTCCGAGCTAGCGTGATGTGCCTTCGTGGGGCAAGATCATCCGCACACCGTGTCACCAGGGACCCCGCGTCTGTAGTGGTAGCCGAGGCACGTGTTTCCTTGCAGGACTGTTGAACTAAAGTCAGACATGTACATTTTTGTCTAGAGGTCTAGTCATGTACTTGTCATGATTCTTTTCTATTTTATTCTTTTTACCAGGCGTGGGCCATCCCCTGGATTATCAAAATGGGTGCCTTATTATTTTCTTTTTTTCTTTTTCTTTTTCTGTTTATTCTTTTTACCAGGCGTGGGCCATCCCCTGGACTATCAAAATGGGTGCCTTATTATTTTTCTGAGTGCAATAAAGAGTTGTCCGTAAGTGGAAAAAAAAAAGGTTGATTTAAACCCTCCCCCCAAGGGGGGGCGAAATTTCAACCCGGGTCAAGCGCAATGCGTCATGTAAACGCGCCATTCACTTTGTGCACATGGCGGGTTGAAATCTGACCCGGGTCGAACTCAACCCGGGTTGAAACGCTTCATGTAAACACAGCCTTATGCTTTTCGCAGCCATGCACAAAGAGTGGAAATTTGCGGAAATCGCATTCATACCTGGTATAATTAGAGAGGTTTTGCATTCCGAATTTCGGAATTATTTTCGGAATGTGGCGGCAGCAGTCGAAAAAGTAGTCGAACTTTCGGAAGTGTGGTGGCGAAAGTGCATGGTTTTCCGAAAATGGATTTTCGGCTCTTTCATGTTTGGGAGTACATATTTGAATACAAAAAAGTGTATTTTTCATGGTTGTATTTTTGCTTTCTGCTGCTCTCGATTATTTGAAAAAATTTCCACGTATGTACAATTGTAGTCAGTTTGATTTTTGCTGGTTTTGCTGCTCTCGCTGATCTCGCCATGTTGACTAATCTTCTCACACTCCATCACACTCTATCTTCCTTTGCCATGGAGCCTACTGACAGTACAAGACAGTAGTTCGCCAACCTCGTCTTCAGCTGTTGGATCACTTGGTCCACCATCAGTACGTCCTCATCTTCGAACCGCACCCAAAAACAGTTTGGCCTGCGCACATGGATTTGATCCTGCTCAGGGAGTCGTAAAATACCAGGTATTTTACGACTTCCTGATCCTGCTCAACCCCTTCGACGCTCTCCATTTTGTTTTGCATGGCAACCCTTGGAAACGAAGTTTTTTTTTTTTTTTTTTTTTTTTTTTAACTTGGTAAACCGGCCTCTTGTACGGGCAGAATTAAGTAACACAGTGATACAATAAAAACAAGTACCAGTAGTTACATACATGGACCATACGAGAAAAAGCAGTGATGACGAGGCATAAACAAGTGTCTAGTGCTGTATGGCAGCTTCCGAGACAGCGAGTCGAGCGGATGACTCAGCCACCTCCGGGTGCGAATACAGCCGTCGTGCACCACGCAGGCAAGCCACGCCTGCACGGAGAAGGGCGAAGCTGAACCTGCAGCGGATCCATGCCATCACTGCAGAGTATGGCTCACCAGATTTGTCGGAGACCATTGCAGCTATTCTCTTGAGGAGAGCGGCAGCAGCTCGACCAGTACCACCAGTTGCAGCGAAAACCACAGGGATGAAGGTTCCACGCTCGACCTCCTTGACGCGCTGTTCGTATCGCCTCCGTTTTTCACGTTCATGACGCTGGTAGCAAGCGGTGATGGAAGAGGATCGATTTGAGGGAGCAAAGGGGTTGAAAACCCGAATATCGAGAAAGACTCTCTCAAACCGACCTCCCCAAACACCACTCGCCGCAACATCAAGTCGAGCCTGGTCTTCTGTGGAGGCAGTCTTGTAGCGGAGCTGCTCACCAGAGAGCGGTTGTAAGTGTGGCTCGATAGCGACACTATTGGCGACACGTTTCAATAGCGAGGCAGTGATGTCCCGCACCTCATTGTGTCGAAGTGACGGGAAACCTCCGGTGCTGCATGTCAGGGCATGGGCTACTGTGAAGCTGGCTCCACAGACACAGGTTGACGGTAAGCGAGAAGGCCGCCAGCCATAGCGCAGTGCCAAACCATCGCAGAAACTCGCTTTTGGATAGCACAAATCCATGACGGGATAGCGGACGACAAGTAAGCCAGCTGGAGGCGCCAGGCTCACTTGCCAACTGAATTGTGTGCTGCAAAGTGGGCGATGCGTCGGCAGCGAAGCCACGGATGTCGGTCTTCGCTTTCTGGCGGTGATCTGCACGCTGTGACGCTTTGGCTGAGGTAACGCTGGCAAGAGCTTCCGTCACACTGAAGTCTTGGTCGAGGATGTTGGTGGTGAGCGCCGCTGTGATCGCGCGGGATGAGGCGTATTGGGTTGTTAGAGATGTTGGATTGACGATGCCCAGGCCACCATCCCGGCAAGGGAAGGCAAACAGCCGTCGCAGCTCCAGACTGACGTCTTCTCCAGTCAGGGCTGGCAGCAGCTTGGTAACAATGGCGTGTTCCAACTGATCAAGACCACTGGACGCATCCGGCAGAACACGACACAAGAATGTCCAGCGGCATGAGAGAGCACGAACAAAAGTAGTGTACGCTGCCTGGGGCTGGGTACGAGCGAAGGATGAGAGTGTCTCAATCTGCTTGCACCATTCATTGGCCTTCTCCTGGATGAACCCGCGGATGTAGTCGGGCGTGCCAATAGCGGAACCCAGGTAGCGGTTGCCGTCAGATGTTACTTGGATGCCAGTATCAGCGAAGAGGCGCACAGCGTCGTCGTAGGCATGTGGCTTGACCACAAGCACAGACTTCCGGGCATTGAGGTGATATCCGTAGGACGGACCTTCAGCCTGCAGCTTGTCCCACCACGATCGAATTGCTACCAGACGACCACCTGCAGATGAATCGTCCGCGTACCATAGCTGGCAGGTGTCCGGGGTTGCTACCGCTCTCACAAGTGGGAGGATGCCGAGGGCATAGAAAGGCATCGCCAGGGGGTCCCCCTGGGTTGTGCCTTCTTGGGACAGAATACACTCCCCTGCCACATACAAGTTTAGGGTTCACGGCTTGCCACTAAAAGCACCCGTCACGTGCGCCTCCATTTTGGATTATGGACGCGCGCTACAGGCCGCGACAGCGCCTATCGAAGTAAAAAAATATCGACTCGAAGTCTAGCCGGAGAGCGTACTTTTTGAATTTTTCCTTGGCTTCAGTGGCTTCACTTCACTCGGGCTTTGCATTTTTCTGACTGACCTGGACTTGATGATGGCGGCGGTGGCGGTCTTGGCGAAAGATCCAGTTCCATCTGAGACACTCTGTCGTCTTTTCTTATCTGCTGAGGTTCTGGCAAAGCGCAGCTGCATCGAACCTGACTAGATGTAGCTGCACGCATCCTTTGTTTGCCCTGCAAATCTCGATCTGTTGCTCTTCTTGCTGTTTGGCCGCTGATGCCATGGAAGAAAATATTCTTCCTGTAAAGAGGCCGAAACTGAGCTAGGGCACGTCAAGATATGTAGGGTATACAAAGAAAAAGAAATGTCATGGTCGTTTCAGCAGCTCACGACAGCCAACACGCTCCATCGTCGGGATTGGAAGTATCCAGCACGGCTGTTCCGAGCGCTGCTGCTCTTGTTATTCTTCTTCTTCAGAAATTCTCCACACCTTGTCGGCCAAAGTACGCGCGCGCGTGCACGGAAAATAGATGCGCTGAGCCGTTTCTTGTTCGATTTTGACAAATAATGGCTTGTTGTTTTGCTCTCGACCTTGGCTATCCTTCTACCGTTCAGTATTTTACGGAAACACAACGGTTCCCCCTGTTTTTTTAGCCGAACTTTGGCCAAAGTTACTGGAAAACCCGGAACTCGTTTGAAAAAATACGAACGGTGGAAGTCTTGGAACGTCTTTCGTGCGTGTGGATTCAAAAATTCAGGCAGTTTGAGCCAACCGTAATGAATCCCGTAGAGTTGAAAGTGAGTGATATTGATGGGAAAATGCGATTTGAGCACTGACCGATTGTGTGGGACAGTATATGCACGCGCCTGTCACGTGCATGATGTAGCTGGCGACGCTAGCATGCCAATCCGTGAACCCTAAAGTTGCTCGGCCGCCGGTACGAATTGATCACAACTGCTGCAAGAGAGGGGCATTGGTGGCGAATGTTTCGGATGGCCACATTGCGGTTCAGGTTATTGAACGCATTGGCCGCGTCCGCCATAATGACGCCCTCCGTTTCTTCTTGGGCGTAGACTTGGTGCATGGCATGAATGGCTGCCTCTATGCCGAAATCCTGGCCACCACAGAGTTGCAAACTTCCCGCTGCTTTCTGGATGTCGTCGCTGATGACGATCAGGATGCTTCGGCCGATAATGCGGCGCACTACCTCCCCGATCCCGATCGGTCTCACCCCTGGGTTCTTGTCCAGAGGGACCAAACGGGAGGCGAGATAGGCCTCCAAGGCCACCGGATCGACGAACTGGGTAGCCAAACGGCGAGCACATAGGACTAGTGCATCACAGAGAGAGTCCGAAGCATCTGCAAAGCTGGTTGCCATCCATCTCCATGTGTCCGCGTCTATGCCTGATGGACCCGCAGCACCATGAGTGTTTAAAACAGCCTTCCTCATTACTTCACGTGTCAGGGCCTCGAATCGCACTGGATGGGGTGGTTCCGGGATGTCTCCTTGTATCAATGCTTGCAGGCTGGGCGGGCTGCTTTCCGGGTGTTTGGCTCTGAGTACATCCCTAACAGTTGATCCATCAATCTTCTCATCCAGGTGGAGGAGCCCCGTGGCTGCCGAACCGTCCAACTCACGTACTGCGGCTGACAGTTTTCCATTGTTGACCAAAGATGCAAATTTCTTGGCCTGGCTCTCATTCTGGCTGCCTGGATGTGGTCGGGTGTGATAGTCTTCCAACTGCTGCTGGATGGTGTGGCACTCGTGGAGTAAGCTGGCTAAGTCTCCATTGTTCCAGGAGTTGAGGCGGCGTTGCAGAATAGAGGATGACGAAGTCGAATCAGATTTTCGGAATGCAAAACACTGAAAATACCGTTTTTCGGAACGCGCTTTTTTCGGAAAAGCACAGTCGAAAATAATTCCGAAATTCGGAATGCAAAACCTCTCTATTATTTTCAGAAAAAGCTCAAAGATTGATCATATCGCAACTCAAAATGAGCGGTTCTTGTGCATACAATGATGCCACGCAGCATAACTGACCGAGAAAAGTCATGCGTGTTAGCAAGAGTACATAAACACATGTACTCTTGGTGTTAGCAAGAGTAGATAAACAAGAGTGTGCAACTCGCGGATGGGTTGGCCCACGGCGGAATTTTTTGTTGACGTAATCTTTTCGACGACGCACGCGCTGCGAGCCTTTTGGAGAGGTTTC